GGGGGGGGGGGGGGGTGTAGATGAAGCTTTTGTCCTTGGCTACTCATGTCCCAGGATAAATTTGATAGTCAGCCTGTCTCCGAGGCCATTGGGAGTGAGATTAGATAAGCTTAATATTTGTTTTTCTTCAGGCAGACAGATTTTTTCTTCAGCCTTGAGTCCATCTGGGCGTTCTGGTTCCGAAAAAGCCTAATTGTGGAATTTAATTTCACTGATCCATGCTATGAGTCTCCTTCAAGGTCGAACCCACCACGCTGACGAGTCCCAGAAGCCGCAGGTGGTCTGCGATTCTCAATCGCCTCCACCTTACGGTTAAGCTCGTAAACCAAACGATTTTGGTTCCCACAGCCAGGACTAAACCTTCACACTGACTTGGAAGCTTTTCCATGGCCAAAACTGCTCCCGCTGTCTTCTTCAAAAGTCGGTAAAACAGAGCCTCGCCGATGCCAAAAAGCAGAGACCCTGCTATCATAAATCCAAATATGTAGTCTCAGCTGGACATGCCGGTTCTCCAGGACCTTGTCGCTTTGATGAAAAAATCTTATCAATAGAGTTGAACGCCCACAATACCAAATCCATAATCTTAATAATTTATGTTCGGGAGATGAGACCCAGGCGCTTCAGACAGACAGAGAGCAGAGCAGGAAGAAGGAAAAAAAACGGGGGAGGAGAAATTGAAGCTGCCACCTCGATCAGAGCCTGGGAGGAAGAAAAAAAAAATACGAGCCAACTATCAAATTTCTCCTGGGACATGGGTAACTAGAGAAAAAAATTTGTCTATTGCAACCCCCCCCCCCCCCCCCGAGAACTTCTGTGCAGGCTTATCAGAACTGCTGTCTGAAACATCATCATCAGAACTGTGGCCTATCTGAAAGTGCATAGACACATCTCACGGTCTTGATGTCAAATGCATATGTGTTTATAAATGTGCTTGCTGGTAGTTTTTTTTAATGTCTTAAATTGTGTCCTGACAGGACAAGATGTGAAGAGATTGTTTTTGTAATACCACTATCCACCCTCTTGGCTTTTTCTCTTCTTCTATCTAAAAGTATTCTGAAAAAGATAACAGGCCGCGCTCTTAAAGAGCAGCTACATGCACGTCGCCCATCTTTCAGATAACTCTACGGACATATTCTTGTTGTATCTGTACACTGATAATAAAGCTTATTCTGATTCTGACTGTGATTCTGTGCAGCTACCCATCCAGGCTGTCACATTGTAAAGTTTGCAGATGATACAGTGGTGGTGGGATGCATCACAAACAATGATGAGTCCAGCTACAGGCAGGAGGTGGAACACCTGGAGAGCTGGTGCAAAGAGAATAACCTTCACATCAATGTGAAGAAGACAAAGGAGATGATTGTGGACTTCAGAAGGAACAACCCCCCCCCCACCCCACCCCCACCCCGACTCCCTGGACACAGGAGGATCTGCAGTGGAAGTGGTCTCCAGCTACAAGAACTTGGGTGTGCACCTGAACAACAACCTCAGCTGGAGCAACAACACCACCAGCCTGATGAAGAAAGATCATCAGAGACTCTACTTCCTCAGGCGGCTGAGACGAGCTGGTCTGGAAGCTCAGTCCTCACCTCCTTCTACAGGTGTGCAGTGGAGAGCATCCTGTGCTCCAGCATCAACTTGTGGCATGCATAGGGCTGGGTACCTTTCTAAAAAAAATCGGTATCCGTACTGGTGTCGGTACCTTCACTTCGGTGTCGGTTCCTGGACGGTTCTTTTTTCGGTACCAATTTTGTAATTACTATTAATTCTAACAAGAATGAAATTACGTTACACATTACAGTACAAATTGTGAGTTTTATTTTTTAACTTTGGTATTTTTCCATTCCAAGCAGTTTTCTTACATAAAAACAAACAAATAATTTCCAGGTCAAAAGACCAGTTACAAACCAGTGACATGTCAGTGTCTAATGGTCACTGCTACACACTGAGGACCTTTTCACTGAACAGTTTTTCTTCAGAAACATCAACATGTCTGTTTTCTCTGGACACAAACAAGCTGCTCCTGACTGATGGTGTCTCCAGCAGTAGAACATGTTCACTCTGAGGCTGTAGATGATGATTGTTGCACACACAGATACCTGGTTGTCAGTTTGACATGTTGTCCCTCACATTCCACCAGCAGGTCACTGGATTCACTGAGGTAGGGTTGATGCAGACATCTGCCCCTCTGTGTCTCTCCCTGAATCTTCTCTGTGATTCTCTGGGGTTTAGGGCTCTGATCATCTCCCTAATTGACATGAGAACAAAACATCAACAATAACATGTTGTGTGATTATTACTCAAAAAACATAATCTAGGCTGAGAGATAAAAGCCTAACTGGTCAGCAACATCCTTTAAAGTTTAACTTACCTCCAACATGCAGCCTCCACTGTAGAAAAAGCAGCAAACTTTTAACAACAAAGTCTGACTGTCCTGTGGCCCCCACCTCACTTTTCTTTTGTCCTCACATCTGGGTCAGAACCTCCTGTGAGGAGAACATGAACATAAACAGTGAACATTAGTGAACTGTTTAACCTGCTGACCTGATGGATGAGCACAGTTTTACAAGCTAAGATTTATGTTACTGTCAATCTTTAGTTAGCTTCTGAGTTTAGCTAGCCACGTAGATAAAATAAATTTACACACTAATATCTTAAAGTTAGCATTATTTCACCGCGATGTACGTATTAAGCTGCAGTAACGTTAACAAATGTAAACTCACCAGCTGAAACACGGACACAGAGTCGTCCATGGAGTTCTTTGATTTAGATGAGTCTGGCCGTGGAACGTTAATTCAGTCCGTTTAACACACACAGACTGACTAACGCTGAGAGGGGGTCGGGGGGGGGGGGGGGAGGCTGCTGTCCGTCTGTCTTCCTGCAGAAAAACACGGAGCAACTTTCTGCTCGTGTGTTGTCAAAGCCATTCGACAACACGCGCTGCACACATGAACTCCGTCTGTGGGCGTCACCAGCACCTTAGACATAAATTATACATGGATTAGGTACAGCAGCTCTATACAGCTCTGGGTGTAAACACGTAGTCTGTTGTCATATGTCTGCATTTTACCAGCCTGCATGCTGAAACCACGTGACACATTACAGCCAATACCGAAACTTGACACCAAAAAAAGAGTGACGTTTCAATACATACACCGACTGGTGCAGTTCAGTGGGTGCCATTTAAGAACCTCGGTTCGATACTTAGCCCTAGGCATGGAGGCTGCACAGCTGCAGAAAGAAAAGCTTTGCAGAGAGTGGTGAAGGCTGCACAGAAGATGTTGGAGTCAGTCTCCCCACCATCACAGACATCTACACCTCCAGATGCAGGAAGAGGGCCACCTGCATCATGAAGGACCACACTCACCCAGCACACACTTTTTGCCCCACTCCCCTCAGGAAGGAGGTTGAGGAGCATTAAGTGTAGAACCACTAGACTGAGGAACAGCTTCTACCCTGAGGCTGTTAGACTCATGAATCTCTAACTAGAATAATCACTGTGAAAAATCACATCATGTTGCTGCTGATCTGTTTCATGTTGCTACTGATCTGTTTCATGTTGCTGCTGATCTGTTTCATGTTGCTGGTGATCTGTTTCATTTGTTGCTGATCTGTTTCATGTTGTTGCTGATCTGTTTCATGTTGCTGCTGATCTGTTTCATTTGTTGCTGATCTGTTTCATGTTGCTGCTGATCTGTTTCATGTTGTTGCTGATCTGTTTCATGTTGCTGCTGATCAGTTTCATGTTGCTGCTGATCCGTTTCATGTTGTTGCTGATCAGTTTCATATTGCTGCTGATCTGTTTCATGTTGCTGCTGATCAGTTTCATGTTGTTGCTGATCAGTTTCATATTGCTGCTGATCTGTTTCATGTTGCTGCTGATCTGTTTCATGTTGTTGCTGATCTGTTTCATGTTGCTGCTG